ATGCACATGCTCCTAAGAATCACATATAGTACCAGATGAACATCAGCCAATTATCTTTACCAGCTGGTAATTATTCGTTGTAATAGCAGTGAGTATATGGCACATGGATGCTTCAACCCTCACGTATCATTCTATCAGTCATGCTACCCCCTAGCATGATCCACCAGTCTGCACACTGGATGTGTAGCCACCTTCAAGCATCTCCCACTGTACAAAAACATAACCATTGCCATGCTTGTGTAAATTGACACACATAATGAAAGCTGTTTTCCATGGGAATCAGATAAAGCTATAGACAATACTGCACACACACACACAGACGGCAAATTGACTCCTCTACAGCAGGACTCAAAACCCTCCAGTTCCCATAGAACCAACAACACAGATTCATTGGTCACATGCCAGGTCAACAGTTCATTCAGGCATCCTTGTCATGTCTACAGAGTCCTTGAAGTAGTCCATCTCCTACTTCCTTACGTGTTTTGTGTGCTATGACATCTGTGGTTATTCTAATGCCGTCATACATCATTATTTCCCAGGGCTGTTTTTTTGTGGGGGAGGAAAAAGACATTTTCCTCTCCAACAAAAACAGCAGGGTTATGAGGTTAGACCCTACCTGCCATTATTGTCGGATTGCTTTTCCATGCATGTTTTGGCCGTAAAATTGTCTGCGGGCTTCGGTACAGCCTTATCTGTGTTTGCTCGGCGCGCATGCGCAGCGAGGGTACATACGGTAGTGTGTCTAGCTGTGTGTCTGTTACTCAACATCTCACTTCTCCAATGTTCGTTAGTCTCACAAACGATGCGACTTACTTCACGGGCAAGAAGGTCAGAATGTTCGAGCGGTTCTATCTGAAAATGCTCCGTTGCGCATTGTACGGCTAATGTCGGCCGCTGTGGAAAATGTACGCATGCGCATTATATTAGCACAGGCTTACCTCGACCATGTCCGCTTGCTCTGTCTATCTTGAAGGCATAAGAAGTCACAACGAAGGGCGTGTATCGACTCCCGCATGCTATCTACTACTGTAGCTAGTCCGTGTCAGACTCTCCGCCGAGGGTTTGCATTATTAGTGTCAGTGCATTATGTACGAAACTTGCTCTTGTAAGGAGTTAAGTCAGAC